TGCCTGCCCTTCCCTCACAGAGTTGGAGGCACAAGGTGTTTCAAGGAGACCCTGGGAGCACCCCTGTCTGTCCCCACACCGACCCTGTGAGGGAGGGCAGCGCCAAGTGACAAAGGCTACACGTACAGCGGGAGCGGCAGCAGCTCCCTGTGCCAACCGGAGGGCCTGAGAAGGAGCATCACAGCAGCAGAACAGGAGAGGAGCTGGTCTGTTTCAAGGCATCAGCTTGAAAAGGTGAGTGCTTCTCTTTGAAATCACTGAGTGCCTTTTGCTAGGGAAGCTTTCACATGTGATGGTCTTACCAGACAATTCAAACTGAAAGACACCCTGAGTACTTCTCACATTCTCTTCAGTCATGGCCCCCTGAATAACTCTGAATGTTTCTGCAACAGGCCCAGATGGCTCGGCTGGAGCAGATTCCATCTTCTCTTTCATTGCTTGGGCAGCAGCTGCAAGAAGTTAATTCTTCTGCAAAGGCCTCTAAGCTGTTAATCAATACACTGTTTTTGTTGCCAATTTTTGGAACTCTCTAAATATGGACAAAGAGTCATGTTTAGAAAGGAGACTGTTTATTCTTCCTCATCACCAGCGTGCAAGGTGGAAGTTTTCCACAAATCAAATACATCAAGGAGTGAAAAGGAAGAGAATTTACACATTGAAATCTACATAAACCCACTTATTTAATACATAGTTACTACCTAGCTATTGCACAACTGTTTAGCTTACACAAAGTGTGTCACTGCCTGTGAGGAGGTGTGGGTTTCTCTTCTGGGTCTCTGGTTTTCTCTGATGGCCGTTTGCTGAGGTGCACTCTATTCAGTTTTCAGCAAAGTTCAGTTCAGGGCTCCCAGAACCCCAGGTTGAGTGCCAAAGAAGACATCATCTTAGACAATTGCCAAACGGGTTGTAAAATACAAAAGCTTTCCACAAACATTGAGCAACATCTGCTTAACACAACTGATAGCATCTTTTTACACTCAAAAGAGGGGTCAAAGGTGAGAATGATACTATCGGGTTCCATCTGCAACACAGATCAAAAGAAGGGACAGGGACAGCGAATTCTGCTTAAAGATACAGAGAATTCTACTTAAAACACAGAGAATTCTGCTTAAAGACATCAATTTGATCAGCATTTTACTTTACCTCAGTGAACACGCACATTTAACAATAATTGACAGCTTTTGCAATTTACGAAGCAAACCAAGTTGAACAGCCTATAAAATGCTATTGAAAGTCTCTTAGGTGCCTACAATATCAAGAAATATTTAGGTCTGTAAACCTAAATTTCATTCTTCATTAGACTGTTTCTGATATAATTTAGCAAGACAGATCATATGACACTCCTGCAAAATGTACTATTTTCCATTTGATTTCTTTTTCTAGCAATATTTACTTTTATTGGTCTTTAAATTTTTTTAATTGCCTTTTAAAAATGGTTTTATTGCTTTTTTCAGCAATATTTACCTGTGACCTTCAGCATAAAAAAAGGATTCTTCAAAATAAGGCACTGATTATAAATCACAAAGGTTTCAAAGTCCGGCAGAAGGTAACATTTTTTCACTAGCTTTGAATACAGAGGCTCTGCAACCACTTCCATAAATCTCACCCTCCAATTGAGAAAAGGGCTTTTGCCAAGTAGCTTGAATGGAGTCCAAGTTCTTAGGAGAAAAAACAAACCAACTTGAAATCCAGAGGGCATTCATTAATACCAGAACTGATCAACTTGTACACACAGTTCTTTTCTTACCACATCTATCTATCTTCACTGCTATCATCAAAATAAGAAACCTTTTAAAGCTGCAAAGAAAAATGTTTGAAGACAGGAAACCATGTCATTAGCTGGTATACAGTAATATAGACATTGTTCTGACCAACAAAAAAAAAATAGTTATGAGTTAGGGAATTGCAACTAATTTAATTAATTATCATTTAAATTAACTATGTAATTATTTTGTTACTAAAAAATGATAAAAAAAAAAACACTTAGAAGAATTCACTTCAGCTCTCCTCTACAGTCCTTACTTATTTCTAATAAATTCTTTGACTTTGTGGCAAATTTGTGAATTCCTTCTAAGAACAGTATACCCATAAGTGTCCTTAACTTTTGTTGTTAAATATCCAAATGTTATTTAATATTCCAATAGAATAGTAGTGAGTTTAATGGGAGTACTAATGATTCCTCTGCTAAAAATTCTCTTCTTAGAACGTTGAAATAACAGCCGTATTCATTAGGGTGCACATTTGCTAATGAATGAAGGAAACAACATCATGCAGACCATGGGTGGAAATACCAGTGATCTCTGCCCATAGTGTACTATGTGATCTTGCACATGCTTTTCCTCAGTTTGCCTCCCTTTCCAACTGAAAAATGTCATGTTTCTACTTATTTCTATATTCATTTTGAGATATATTCATTAAAAGCAACACTTTAAGACTTGAATGATGGTAAAATGTCAAATGCCACTCAAAAGCACAGGGGGCTGGAAGAGAGGCAGCAAGTTTGTTGGGATTGTCACCTGGAGGACACGTGGTGTGTTCAGAGCCAATTGCTGGCCTGAAAGATCTCACCTGTCTTGAGGACACTCAGGGCCCAGCTGACAGCACTCACCAGGACCTCGCCACCTCCTCCTGCACAGCTGCATCTCCTCATCACCTTCCTCAGGTGAACCCAGCTCAGCCACGGGTGAAGGCTGGGGAATGAGAAGCAGCTGGCAGAGGGAGGCTCCAGCAGAGACAGGTCAGGGGAAGCAGTGGCAGCCAGGGAGGCTTTGCTGAAACGCAACACAGCAGCAGTTGCCTGAGTTTGCCTAAGTGAAAAGGCTGATGGTCAAAATACCTGGTCCCACAAATTAAAGAAGTAGCTCTTGAAAGAGAAGGGCATAGCATGTTCTCCTGTGAGTAGCTGAGCGGTCAGTGACCAGCTCTCCTCCAGGATGAATGCTGCACTGTTGGAGGGAAGGGCAGTTTGGGGAGTGGAGAGATCCTCCACTGTAGGACAGTGGGTTTCTGCTTCATAGAGATGGAGAGCACTGGACTGCAAGCACAGATGCAGGAGTGCTCAGCCCATGGTAAACCTGTGCTCCCCTGCTGCCCACTACTTGCAGGCTAACATGCAGGCACTGGCAAAACTACTGAAAGCCACCGCACGAGCATTCTACCTTCTGTAGTGCCTTTTCAAATGTTCTCTGCTTCTCATGCTAAAAAACCTTCTGGGACATAAACTGACTCTCCCAGTACAGAAAAAAGTCCCATCACTCCAGTTCCCCTATTATATACTGTAGAGGAAAAAAAAACACTTTAGGGGAAGAAGGTTGAACGTGATGCCGAGGAGCTTCTCCTGCAGGCACTTCTGTGCATGGCTGAAACCAGCAGTTGTCTACACACAGGCATGATGGCTTGCTTCTGTGGAGCACACTGCAGGCATGAGGCTTTCAATCCTGGCATGCAGCTGTGGCAGTCAAGCCCTGCCCTGCTCATATGGGCTGAGTAGCTGCAGAGAGAAAGAAGGAGAAGCATGCCTGAAGAACGTCTTAACAAAGCTCTTTCAGTTCCATCTGTGTGGGATGCTAGCCTTGGGAAAGCAGGTGGCATGAGAGACGTTTCAGCTGCAAAGTGTTTAGACAACCCTTGGCCCCGTCAGCCTAGTCACGCATCGTTCCTGCAGGAGTCAGCAGCAGAAGTGAACCAACAGCCATAATTATGCCAACACACAAGAACAAGCACATCTGCTTATGGCTCACTTTGATTACTCTTTAAGTCAGTAAAACCATCCATCTCAATTCTTCCAGCAGGTTCAGATACACCAGGTGATTTCCCTTTCTGCCACCAGCTCCCAGTGAAACCCAAGTCTCTCTCAGGATGTTGCACAAGATTTCTGCATGAAAGCTGAAAGGGGAAATACAAGCCAAAGGTAGAACCTGATGGAAGATTTCCCAACTGTGGCAACAGGTGGGCGGCACAGCAAGGTCAAGAGGAGGTCAGAGCCTTCCTTTGGCAACAGATGGAGGAGGAGGAGTTGTGTCTGTGTGTGCACATGGTGGTGCAGGGCATGGATGTGAGGGCCAACCTCGCTTATTTTGGGAAATCAGAGAGGGACTAGGGGAGGAGGTGAAGCAGAGGGCAGCCATGGCTGGATGAGCAATGATAGACAATCCTGCTGCAGGCTTTCTCATGAATAGGGAATCACAAAATCATTAGGGTTGGAAGGACCTCTCATCTGGTCCAATCACCATGCCAAAGGCAAGGTTACCTAGAGTAGGTGACACAGGAATGCATCCAGGAGGGTTCTGAATGTCTCCAGAGGGGGGGACTGCAAGACCCCCCTGAGCAGCCTGTTCCTGGGCTCTGCCACACTCAACATAAAGAAGTTCTTCCTTATGTTGAGGTGAAACTTCTTGTGTTCTAGTTTATGGCCATTACTCTTCATCCTGTCGCTGCGCACCAGAGTCAGACATCATCTGACTCATCCTCTCGGCACCCACCTTTGAGATATTCATATGAGATAACCTCTGAGTCTTCTCTTCTCCAGACTAAACAGGTCCAGCTCCCGCAGCCTCTCAAGAGAGATGCTCCAGACCCCTCATCATCTTTTTGCCGTCCGCTGGGCCCTCTCCAGTAGCTCCTTGTCTTTCTTGTACTGAGGAGCCCAGAATTGGACACAGCACTTCAGAAAGCGGGACGGAGGCAAAGCCTCCACTGATTTGAGTGGTACTCGCAAGAGAATTCAGGCCAAAGCACAGTTTCTCACGCCCTGCAGAGAACACCCCGCTCCCCTCTCAGCCTCGGCCGGGCGGCTCCTGCCCGGGGTTCGCTGTCCCCGCTCCGCCCCGCCGGGCCGCCCCGCCCCGCCAGGCCTGGCGGCTGCGCGGGCTGAGGGGTCGGCGCCGCCATGCTGCCCAACACCGGGTAAGGTGTCCCGCCCGGCGCAGGGCAGGGCCGGGGGTCGGTCCGGCGGGGCTGCGGCCGTGGCCGTCGCAGGGCCCTCGGAGCGGGCTGGGCTGGGGCCGCCGCGGGGGCTCGGGGGCCGCTCCCGTGCGCTGTGTGGGCTGCCCCTCGGTGGGGCCAGCCGGGAGCGGGCGGTGGGAGCGCAGGACGCCGTGTCCCGGTGGCCCCGCGGAGCAGCCCGGGGGCTGTGCCGGCCGAGGGTCCCCGAGCAGCACCAGAGCCCCGGGGCGAGCGCTTCGTACCAGTGCCCTTGAGCGGCGCGTTTTGCGATGGAAATAGCTACTGGATGGTTTTAACGTAGATTCGGCTGTGTATCTGTAACTTTAGACATGTAAAACTATTCTTCCCTCTCTTGTGCCAAGCCAGTACCTGCTTACCTGGCAGTCAAATTTTTTTCCAGTAAGTAGGAAGGTAGTAGTATACCTTCCATAAGTATAGGATCTTTCCTGCCTTTTAGCCCTTCAGAGGCCAACTGCTAACAGCTAGGAAGATAA